GCATCGCGATAAAATAGATACGAGGTGCACAATTTCCAACGCCATCATCGCCACTTCAGGCGCGAAATATTGGCAACCGTAGCGCGACACGCTCGCAATATTGTATCGCGATAACCCGAATTAACGTCACATCTCTGTGATTGATGCAAGTTGCGGGAGTCGCGGGAGCGAGAGATACTTCGGTTTCTCGTCTTACGATCTCAAACGGACGGAGCAGGATTACACCAACAGGTGTAACCTGGTCACAATGAAACAAGCTCTTGTTACGAATAGTTTATAAATAAGGTGCTCACGAGATACTTAACGAGCAATAATAACAACCAGGAGCTCCTTGACATTTCATTTGATTCCTCTTGATTTTTACTTTATATTATTTCGTTTTTAATTCTTAGCGTTCTCTTACGTGGCGCGTAAATAAAATTTGAAGAATTAAAATGCTCCTTTCATTTACACTAGACAAATCGACAGGGAATAATATAATTCGATAACGGATCAATAAACGTCGCAATGACAAATATAGACCGTTTGGCGATCGTATCGGGCGCTCTATCCGGGAAGTTCCGCAATAAACATGATATTTAGTTCAATTTGCCTTGCACCTCGTAAAAGCAAATTCACTTATAACGCCAACCATGTGTCGACGAAATATTGGCAGTCCAACGTAATAACCTAGATTTACATCGACTACTTCCAGCTGCAACTATGTCACCATTACGTTGATATACACGATCAAAGTCTTTGATTATGCGCGTCGAACTAAAAATTTATTATACTTTACGAAAATAACAATTTTTCAATTAGTGCTCACAAATACCGTCCAGTAAAATACGCCTATGGACGAAGTTTTCGCTGGATAAATATTTGTCTAGTGGATGAAAAAGCCGGAAATCGAAACGGCGGTATGTTTTCGAATAAAATGAAATATCGATCGACGCATTTGCTGATTAAATATACAAAGGTCCTCGCGAGGAGAGAAAATAAAAAATAATCCGCGAAACAGGAAGGCAAATGCAGCGATTAATTTATTTTAATGGATAGCAGATATGGCAATTCATTTGTTATACGATTTTCAAGACGAGATAAACTGTAGAACGTTAGACGAATAATTGCTTTACTGAAAAACAGAGGATGCCAGAGAAAGGAAACGAGGACGGAGAAAGAGCTAAGAACGTGCTTGAGAGCTTAAACCTTCGAGGAAGCTTTAGCTATATGAGCTTTTAATTAAATTGAGAAGATGAGCCGTTAATGGAATATGAAGTCGCGTTTCGGGTATACTTGAAATTAACGGGTACTTGTACACATCGCAAAATACTAATTTTTCTTTTTACCGCATTTTTATCGCATTTTTTTTCAAAAGATGAATTGTCCATTATACAACCGTATCGTAATAATACCGTAATGTTCTATAATAAATATTAACAGAGCAGATACTTCGTATTACTATTCGTATTTTGCACGGTTTAAAATTCCGACAGGTTAGTCTTTTTATTCGTGACAATTTATACGTAACGATTTTATTATGCAACTCGCGTAAAGAGACGATACAATTTTCCTTTCCACTTTTATCGTTACAAGATAATAACGTAACATTTTTTGCTATTGATAATTTTTTGTTATCAATTAATGCGGGTAAAAGTTCTCCAAGTTTGATAACTGGAATCAAGATAATTTCAGAACGATATAAAGCAAGAGCAGCATTGTACTCGCGCTGCAATGCGGACACGCTTTCGATGTGTAGTGCCAGTATTGTTAGCACTTTCGATTATCGCGCAAGCAAGAAGCCTTCAATCGACTTTTTAATTAGCGGTTCGATCGCGGGAGAGACGCAAGAAAACGAGCTTTGTATGACCGGATAGCTATGTGAGCGCCCGAACAGAAGCAGCGCAAACAATGTCGAATGACATCGACCCGACCACCGGCGCGGGCGGTGGAGAGAAACGGGAGGAGCTCAAAGCTCATCTATTATTGGCGCAAAATAGAAATAAAATGCAGTGCGACGGCCTGTGAAATCTACGAGGCTGACGTGCTGCCAACTTTTGTTCTCTGCGGCTTTGGCTTCAATATTTTCAATCCCGCGTTATAGTCCGCGTCGCGGAATTGCACCACTTTTCCATTCTGGCCACTATGAATTAATACATAGTAAAAAAAAAAAAAAAAAAAAGAACAAAAAACAAAAAGTGGACCGCGTATATAACAATTGTTGTGCATTTGCGACTTGTGCATTATTTGCAGCTTTGTTACACTACCTCTTAAAACGTTTAATCCTCAAGTAAGAAATAATTTATGAATTATATTATGTTTTCCTATTTGTACGAGAATTTTCAAGACACAAGACAGAACTATATTATGTAACTTGTATACATACTCTTTATAGATTCAAAATGTTATAGATTCAAAATTGTGAAGACATGAAATAAAAAAGCAAAAAGCTTAGTCATGCCAGCGTAAATTGATAAATTGATGAAGGACACTTACCACAGTGATGGGGTAAACTGGATTGATGATTGTGAAGAGGAGGACGTGGTTCGGTTTATTATTGTCTTCTCTGAAACATTAATTGACATACGTATTATTCTAGCGAACGCACAGGGGACTTTATTTGCTAAAGTTTGCCCTAAAGCATAAGTGCGCGATCGATAAAATCGCAAATTTCTATCATTTGTCCTCGTTAAGAGACGCTCCAATTATTTGAAAATTCAATTACGGAAACCTGCTCGAAAACGAGGCCTGGATTATCGCCGAGTTCGCAAAAACTAGTTCGCCAAATAATAATTCATTCTTCGTTGACTGCGGTACGGACGTCTTGCTGATGCGGTGCAAAATCGCATTGATTGCACCCGTTGAAACTAGAATTATTATCTCGGTTTCGTTTTTTCGCGCAGACTTGAAAAAAAAAAAAAATTAATTTCCACAAACTCCATTAATAACATCCACTATCTCGATATTGAACATCGTATTCATGAAATTAAAATGTTTGTCATACTTTTTTGTCCGCGAATGTCGATATTAATAAATTAATTTTATAGACAATATTATTACGCATATATACATTTTAATTATGAATCTCGTACAAATTTTGTATAAATAATTTTCATATTTATACATACAATTTTCACATTTATACATAGAAATACCTTATACAAAATTTCTCATAATTTTAAAAAAATATTTTTGATCCGTGAAAAACGTGGATTGCACATGCGCATCATAAAGAATTATAACGTCAGAAGTAGGAAGATAGGTATCTCGCATTCTCGGTCGAGAGAAAAGCGAATGGAGTAATCTCCAGCCGAGATTTGACATGCTCACGTGTTGTATAGCAAAGCAACCAACCGGTGATGGACGCCGCGCGATACATTTTTCACAGTTGATATTGGTATATACATCTCTTCTTCGTGACTTGCACCCAGCAATAAAAATCAATCGCCGTAATTTTTCCACAAGCAAAATAGCGAGAACGCTGTTGTAATGGAACATCCAATTCTAAGGATCGATACAAATTGAATTACTTGTCACGATCATTGTTATTCGTAGCTCATTTTTATCGGGCTCTCGTGTTTATGATGCGGCTTATTATTTGTGGGATATCTCGAATTTATTTTATGGGATATCTCGAAATGAACAGAAATGCATCTGCAATATAGTGCTTCAACCTCTTTCTCGGTAATACCTTTAATAAAGAAGTCTAAAGCTCAAAGGTTCACGCACAAAACGCGTTTCTCTCTCGGTTGAGAACAAAGATCGTAGATTTTGAAAATATGGGATTCGCGAAATAACAGATAAATATCGTTTCGGTCTTATATCGTTCCCGACTCTTGTCTTGTCGATTATCTAACACCGATATCTGCATCTGCGACCACTCAACGGTGTGCCGGCTCGAATTCACTTTACCAAAGAGTTATCGCGAGTTTCGTGAAGTAGATATCGCTCGCTATCCGATTGCCTCCGCTGGATTGAATCACGCTTAATGCTCGACTTAACTTCTTATTATTAGAACTTGAACTATAGGACAGCGGCAGTAGGGTCAAACTTCGTGACGACCGGCTGCGTCGTTTTAATTAATTTTCGCCGTCGCGAAATGTATAGAACTGCGTCTTGGCGCTTATCAGGCATCCAATTCCACGCTCGAACGTTCTCTTAATGGCGTGTCATTGATATAATAGCGCACAAATAAGAATCTGGAAGAGAGAGCCTGGAATCACATTTGCATTTCCATTCAAAGAGGAATAAAAGAGTTAATTGAGGAAAATCGTGTTATAAAAATATAAAATATAAAATTAATATAAAATATGAAATTGATAAAAAAATGTAGTAAAAATTTAAATCAACTGCAATATCAATATTTTATACAAATTATATAAAATCATGTTATCATCGACAGTTTTATTGAGAACGATCGAGTGAACGAATTGCCTGCGATTGATTTCAATAACTTGTTTATGCAATATGATATACGAGACGATCGAATGGCGCCGTGAATCGCAGAGCTCATTGTCTCATCGCAAGTGTCGCGAAAGTTAACAAGTCGGAGAAATGCGATGGTGCACGATTGATAATCCCGTCAGGAATTCAAAACAATGCATGAGTGAAAGTCTCGATGGTCATCGATCATAATAATTTTACAACGTAAGAAAATACTGTACAATATAAACGATTTGTCGGCGATAAGATAGCAGCCGCCGGTCGTCGCTGATTTGACTATTGAAGCACCTCAATGGACGAAACAATGAAATTACTATTTTAATAATTTTCAATTCTTTTGTATATATAAATTCAGAAAGTACTCCAATTTTATAGTTTAAATTCTTACTTCTTTATTAATGCACGTGCAATCATCACAATCGGTTTCGTATTGCATACAAAAAATAATTATCAATTCGCGCGAATAAAACATAAACGTATGCAGATGTCCTCACCTTTTTCGCCGTGGCTCGTCTCCATACCCGCCATATTCGTGATTCTGTAACAAAAAAAGAAACGAGCAATGTGGTTAATAACTTTTTTTCATCGTGGATAATAAATTCGCGTGGAGAAACGCCGTTAATGGCTTCGCTTCGTCCGACCGACATCATTCACTTTGCCATCTGCGCAAGACCGTGCGGTCGGCAAGTTCTCTCGAAAATGCGACTATCTCGTAACTACTCGCAAGTCGAAAGTACGGATTTCCCGAGCGACACGGTTTCCCCTTTCTGTGTGCTCACCTTGTAGCAACACGTGCCACCGTCTACCATCGCAAGGAAATCGCGCAAGACAAATTTGCACGGCGGTTTTGGCTGAATTTCGATGGTGCGCGGTGACGTCATCACGGATGTGTCGTGCTCGGTCAGTCTATTAATACACGTGGCACGCGTCTTTTTACCCATGGCACCCAAAGCGACGGAAATAGTGCCAGCGGGACACCTTAGGGACCGTGACGTATTGACCGCTTAGGTAAATTCTTGAGACCCAATCTGGATCGCATAATTAAGGAAGCAAAATTCGCAATCCCCTTTCTCGAGTTAAGGAGTCTAGAAATATTTAACTATTTATAATTTACAGTGAAACTAATAAGTCCGAGTATAAATTCCATCGTTAAGTATATCGTTATGTATATTTTATTATTTTTTTTATATTTTATTTTTTCCATATTTTTAATATTTATTAAAGATGCCGAATCAAGCATTTGCAAGGTCGAATCGAATCGAATCTTTTCGATTTAAATACGAAGTTAAGTTCGAATCAAATTTTTCTGGATTTATATTATTAAATGATTACGACATCCAAAATGATTTTTATGGCAAATTTGAAAGGAGGTGTGGAAAGAGTTCGTTAATCATCTATTAATCGTTGATTGTATTTAATGCATGTTAGATTAATATTAAAACGGATATTACTGAATAAAATAAATTTTTACACACAGTTAGTATTTGATTTGATATAGCATCCATTATTTATATAATTCTAAAAATATTTATAACAGTAAATTGATATTTTTAGTTACAGCTCACAACAGTCATAGCAGAATTTTAGTGCTCAATATTTCCGGCATGCACAGTAATATAAGATACAAAATTTATTGCGTGGGAGATATAAATGAAGCGATCAAAATAGACGATTGATTCGAAATCGAACTAATGATTCAAAATTTTCGAGCTATTCGATTTCGAATCTTTCAGATTCAAAAACGACTCGAATCGAATTCACTGTGGATCAATTCGATTCGATTCGAACTTGTTTACACATCTCTGATACTTATAACTCTTTCTTTAAGAAATTGTCGAAATTCTCTTGTTGTCAATAATATCGAGGAAGTCTGAAAACAGGATAATAACTTCACCAAGATCTAAAGTATTCTCCTTTAAGAAGTAGATCTCGAAATATATCGGTTCGAGCATTGGATTTCAATGCGGAAATACCAATACGAAGACTTGTGACGAAATTATAGCGGAGATTTATCTATTTTTCATACCGTTCTGCGACATGGCTCGCCATTGTGTGTGTCCCCGAACATAATCCGCCTTGTGAAACCGCGCGCGAATGTCAATCCCTAAGCGTCTAGTCGCTTCATATCGCGTAATGCGCAGTGGGCATGATGAATAAAACATGAAGCGCGGCGCATTTGTACGTCGGAGTGACGTGTCGCTTGTCGCGGCTAAATAATTCATTCGCATTTTCCGCAACCGCGAAACAAGTGAAATCCGAGTATTCACGGATCCAATTATCAATACCACATTATCTGGTAACTCTGGGTAAAATCTGGGTTGAAAACAACTTACATATTGCGGCAATCCCGCGAGGTATAACGGGAAAATTTTCAAATAGAAGTTAGCTCGCTTTTCCAGATGAAAAAAAAACTGATTTTGCAAATACGATCGCTCTCCGAAAAACAGATGATTTAATTTAAAAATAAATGCAGTTATTTTTTTTCTTCGTATACATTAATTTTTTTCACTTTATTATTAATAGATTAATAAGAAGTATTGGTTTTGTAGGTAAGGAAACAGAGAGAAGCAAAGAAATAAATGTTTTCGACGAAACTTATTATGCACTGCGGTGTTCTATGCTTTCAATCATTGTATATCTATAAAAATAATATTCTAAATTCAGAATAAATCTTTTATTTCGTGTAGTCAAAATATATTCTAATCAGCATCTTAAATTAAGATTGAAAAAATTTATTGAAAAATGAATAAATACGACAGCCCTAATAGATATTTCTTAATCTTTCAATGTTATAAAAATTAAATTATATTTTTTTGCGATTTTCCGCTAATATTACAGTGCTGATTACAATACAAGACGACGCACGCAAAACGCGAACAAAGAAGAGGCAACGACGACGCAAAACGCGAACAAAGAAGAGACGTAATGAAACTCACGCAATTGTGCATGAATCTGTGCGTCGCTAATGATCCGGTTACGAAATTAGCCTGAATGGTAAAGGTGACTGGCTGCTACGTCTTGTTTTGCGCGTAAGCCAAGAGACATTTGAGGTGTATCGCGTTCGCGAAGTGTCCAGCTAAATAATGAAACCGTGAGGAATACGCGGTGAGATTAACGAGCGTTTTTTATTCTCCCCTGTCGAGAGAATGCGAGTGTTAAACATGAATATTTATCATCAAACAAGGAATTGATAGAATTCTTATTACCAGTTAGATCTATCAATTCTTCCTGTCAACTTCATTACAAATCATACATCATTCGTCATATTTGTTATTAGTATTACAGCTATTAGCGTGTATTGTCTGAGCAATATTATTGTATCTTCTTCTTCATATCATTCACAGGGACGTTTCGTTGAATAATGAACACGCAATGGAACCCCGGCGGTTTTAATGAGCGTCTATTCTTCTTGTCGCCCAACAACAATTACGAATCTTGAGTATAAATAAAAACACGCAGCATGAATTAAAAATGTCATCTTTAGTAAAACATAGGACACTAGACGTTAGTTAAATCGTACGGAAAGAAAATAATATTTTTCAGATGAAAATGCCTAACGACCGAAAATTATAAACTGTCGTTAAACATTCTCATCTTCTTTATTTAATGCAGTTTTACATTTACTCCGCGTTTACATCTGGGTACGTATTATGGAACTGTCTGGAATAGATTCCGATGGGGATTATTCTATTTTTCCCAGAAAATATAATAGAAATCTGGAAAAGCAACCAAAACAATTTCGGAATCTATTCCGAACAATTCCATAATATCCCTGACGTTTATAGAGACGCGGATTGGACCGATCTACTTCCAATAAATCCCGTAATATCCCGAGAAGGGAAGCATCCAGCCGGAACGATGCGCGTCCACCGTTGGGCGATGGATTCGCGAGCGAGTCAACAATTCGAGCGGTGTCGCCCCGCTTAATGATTTATCGCCGACGATCGTTCTCGTTAATTATTCGTCGCCGCGGCGTCGCGTCCGTGACTTGCGAAATGCGGCTGAACGGCCCCCGAAAAAGAACGCAATGCGAAAGCGGTAAGAATCCGCCCGGGCGGACGGCCAAGCCGGCCGGGGAGTCTCCCGAGGGGCGATTCTGCGTAATGTCCGATGCGCCGCGTCCAAGAGATCTCCGTCGTCACGAACGTCCTATAGCTTACGCATAGCATCACCGTTACGAGGCAGAATACCGCGGGGATCTGTCATACGTTGTTATAAACATAACTGCCCACTGGCGCGCGACCAACCACGTGCTTTCGCGCTGAATGGGTGCCGCGCTGGTCGTCGGAGAAAAAAATCGCTGGGCTGAGATCACGCGAGATCTATCGTACGGTCAAAGAGGCAGAGAACGACAAAAGATATTTTCACGCACAGTAAAATACATCGAATTCGTTTTTGACGTTTTTGACACCCCAACAAAAATGATAATTTTAAGAAAGCAGTTCATTTTTTTCTTTTCCAAATTTTTTTTTCTAATTTCTAAGTCGTAAAAGAGGAAAAGTGTGTGCGAAATAATTATTAGATATCAGAGTAGATAAGGGAAATAATTTTTTGCGCGAGGATATCGCAAAGTTAGAATAAAAATGTAGCGATATACAATTTTTTAATTCAGTTGCCACTGTCCTGCGTTTTTGCACGTTTATGTATTTTAACAACAAATCTGCTGTTGGTATGAATGATCAAAGTAATGAAGCGTTTTGATACATCTACACTTGTTGCGACAGGATCTTATTATTCTAAATACATAATACCCAGATCCGAGACATCTTTGAAATGTGTCATGTGTCCCCGATATAAAATTGGGATCGTTTCCACCGGCTCATGTCCATCTGTCAAATGACTATCGAGTTGACCGTTCGGCAAACGAGAAGACGAGACATTGGGCCAATTTTCTCCGCATTCTATGCATGTTACAATGAAAGATGATAAGATTCAAGACATCTCGTCTGCTTACTTATCGCTTCAACTTAATAAAGCATTCTCCAATTTATCAACAGTTGAATAGTCTTGAGCATTGAAGTTTTGTAGATTGTTTTTAAAAAATAATAATACAAGAACATTTTCTCTTTCTAAAATTGATTATTTTTATATATTACATATGAAAAAGTACAACAGTATCACATTTACTTTATTAAAAAATTCCAAGTTTTGCTTATTTCAAATAATCTGATATATTATATTAATATTATATTAATTTAATAATAATTTTAATTTAATTTTATAATAATTAAAAAATTACTAAATCATGAATCGTAATCTATTTAGATATTTATATTATTCTATGTCTTTTTCTCTCTTATATCTAACAACAAATTTTTCTTATCTTTATTATATCGCGTTTGCATACAAAGCGTTCGCTAAAGCGATCTCCTTTATGTAAAACATCTGCATAAAAATTACTGTGTAACTTTTTTAAATTCCAAGACGAGACCGAATACATTCTCTCAAACGCAATTACCATTCCTGCGAGGAAATCGATTATGCATGGGCGATATGTAAAAAAAATTATGTCACTTTAGTGCATCGCGAGCGAACGTT